TCCAATCACCCCCACCACCATCACCAGTCTACTCGCCCCCACCTCCAGTCCAATCACCATCACCACCCACCCAATCCCCACCGCCTTCAGTCCAATCACCCCCTCCAATAGATGACTTTGTCCTGCCACCAACCTTCGGTTCCCAATACTCATCTCCACCTCCACCAATGTTCCAGGGCTACTAAGCATTATGATATCAACCTCTATGACCTACATGACTTTGTTTAAAAATGTTTACAATCTCAAAGAAATACACCCACTTTTGTTAGTTAACCATAGCTTGTTGTATAATTCATGACATCAAAGTGTAAATCATTTTCATATGCCTACTTAATGCAATAAAGGACATTATCGGCAAATCATTCAATCATTTGTATTTTGCTTTTGGTTGTTTTGTAATTGAATGTGTTGCTTTATCAATTTGGGACTCAGCTTTGATGCATGTTTTTAATTAAGGCGATATTTCCTTGTATGATCAAAATATTTTTCTATATATCTTTGTTAAGTTTTGTTTAGCCAATGTTTGTAGCTTTCCTTGACAAACATGTAATCTCATATGTATGATCAAGCTCAAAGAATTTAGGCTAATTCAAGTTAGTGCTAAGTTGACTACTGTGGTTGGGATCAACTTCATAATTACCCAATGCAATCAAGCTCAGTGAAGGTAATATTTTTATGTATGCATTGCATGCATTATAGTGTTCTCATGCATGCATCATAGTGTTCTCCTGCATGCATCATTAGTTGTCGTGTATGTAATTATTCTTAGCTATCTTTAGAAATTAGGATTTGGGTATTTGCTAAACAGTTGAAGTACATTGAAGAGCTTATGAGGCTACAAAACCAAGATAATTTGTGCATTCATTTATAATGGGCATCATTAGGAAAATCAGCATCAGCATCACAATAATTTGTCTAGATGACCAGTCATATAGGCCAATATTTCCAGCACGGGATTTTTAACCAAGGCACGTGATTTTGCTTATTATAAGTCCAATCATTAGCTGCCAAGTGTCCTTTTGACATACCAATAAGGTTGGGGCTAGTATGGACTCATTAACTCTCTCATTTTACATTTTTTATATGGGTTTTTAGAGAGAGAGAGAGAGAGAGAGAGACATAGAGAGAATTCTAGTAAGAGATTGTGCATAAATTAGGTTTTACTTTTGGAGAGAAGAGTTCATGGGTTCTTGAATTCCTTTTAGGCTTTCATTGAAATTTCATTTCTCAAACTTTTGTTAGGAATACGAAGTTTTCATCTCTCATCTCTTTCATTTTCACCATTTTAGAAAACTTGGTTTTCTTTTTGGTTTGTCTGAGAATGTTCATGACATATAAATGGGTTTTCAATATTTCATTTTGAAAGCTACTTTTTTTTGAGAAAATATGACCATAGCTTTGCATATCAAAGTTTTAATCTCTCATCTATTTCATTTGCACCATTTTGTAAAACTTGGTTTTCTCTTTAGGTTGTGAGAGTGTTCATGACATAGAAATGGGTTTTTAAGATTTCATTTTGAAAGCTACTTCGTTTTTAGAAAATCTGACCATAGCTTTGCATATCAAAGTTTTAATCTCTCATCTCTTTCATTTGCACCATTTTGGAAAACTTAGTTTTCTCTTTGGTTTGTCTGAGAGCGTTCATGGCTTCTAGAAATAAGGTTTTCAAATAGCTTTTGAAATCTGCTTCTATTTTCTCAATCCACTTCACCCATTGAGATTTTTTAGAGTAAAACTTTTACTTTGCACTCTCTACTTTGTGAGGTTTGGATTTTCATTATGAGATTTTGAAAATTGGTTTTTGAAATCTGCATCTAGGGTTTAGTTTAAACACTTCATCATCCTAGCTAGATCAGATTCTTTGTTGATTTCTTCAAGAAGATGGTTTCTTGAAGAAATTGACCATTTCATTCTAGAATCTATATTTCATTTATTGGTGACAATTCGAAGCTGAGTTGCAGTGCCATGGGGTGAAGAAGCTGATGGACTAGCTGCCATTTCCACGAAGGACAAGCTACTAGCTCAACTAAGTTTGGAAAAGAAGGTTGCACAAGGAGGTAGTGCTCATTTCCTAAATAGACATAGGATTGTTTGAGCTTGTGATTACTTTTTCTGTAAGAATCTTCTTCACTTAGTGGATTGCCTGGTCGGAGTGATGACCTGCAGTTTTTCCCAACGGTAGGTTTCTGGGTGAACATTTTTGGTGTGTTGTTATTGATTTTATGATTAGTCATATTGTATCTGTTATCTCTGAAATGTTGATAAATGTTCACACACCTTTCACTCTGGTTGTTGCTAGCACATGAGATACCTAAATTGACGGGTCTTTCTAAGTGCCTTGGTTGTCATATAGTTCTCTTTTAGGCTTGCAGGTTTTAACATTTGATTTGTGGTAAGTATGTGCTGGACTTGTTTGTTCATAGGTCTATGACTAGTAATTGACTAGTCATATTGTTACAATTACTAGTCATATTGTTACTAGGAACAATATCATTGTTGTCTTAAATTTGTCTATTGGGATTTTAATTTACCCACTTCAGCTAAGTACCAATTTCAATCTTCAAGAATAGAACCTTAACTCGTACACGAAGCCAACCAACATGTACAATCCAGTCCAACTCAAATTTGCTAAGTTTGTAGATTTTACACTTCCACCCAATTTAGGATTAAATCCAATCCAATCCTTTTCATATGCCTAATTGGATAGAATGATCGGTTTCAAAGAAAGGAAAGAAAAATATTGAAACATAAAGAATTGTCATAAAATAAAATCCAAATTTTCGAATAATCAATTATAGCATGAATATTGGGTAGTAAAGGAAATGTATGTGGCAAAAGTAATTCCCTTCAAAAGGTTTTAGCTTATGAATAATTTTCATTGTTGTAATTAAATGCATATAAACATTCTGTCAAAGCTTTGCCTTTATGAGAGACCAAAATGATACGAAAGGGACCACATATAGAACAGTTGTTCTTGGCACGTGCCATGTGATCAAACTCATGTACACATAAACAGAGTATTTTAGAGTTTGAACACATCAAAATCTTTTTCACTGCAAATTTGGTCACCACCTTGAATCAAGCTAGATGCAGCATTAAAAACAATCTAGATTGTGACATATATTATACATATAATAAACTTCAAGAGCTCAACTATACATAGAGCAAAATATAGAGCATGCTTTGTTACTGAAAATCTGTTAATATTATGTCATAAAAGTACACTGTTAATACTATGTTATAGAAATCAACTCAATTGTAGGGTATGAACAGTATAACAACTATTCATACCACATAATGGAAGTTAAAAACTACATCATCTCATTTGCATAATAGGTACAATAAAAAATTTACAACTCCATACCACTCAAAATCAATACTCAACAATGATAAAAATACAGAGAATGACTCCATCTCAACAATAGTTGCAGGTCCTGACATTCAGAATGATGAAGCAACCTTGGAAGCTAAAGAGTGTGTTGAGGACAAGCTACAAAAGACATCTATGACAGATGATCATGAAGAAAAAGCTGGACTTGAAATAGGGAAGAAGGCAAATGAGGCCCCCGGTAAAGAGTTACAGAGTTACAGATAGTAACAAGGGAATTGCCTCAGAAGCATCAAAATGAAGATAATAAGTTATGTTGATCAGCACTCCCAAATTGTCAATCCCTCCATCTATTTCCAATTCGACATATAAATTGTCTAATTTTCTTCGGCTAAATTAAGCAAGTCCTTAATGAACTCAGAGAGATAAAAGCATTCCCAAAATTACTCAGTACATATATTCATACATACATGGATTAAAGGTAAACTTGGTCACGCTCAACCCAAAATTACTCAGTATATATATTCATATATAGATATTGATTGGTGAATTGTTGAATTAAAGGTAGACTTAGCTTAAATTACTACATTCCCTAAAAAATTTAGCAGCAAAATCAACAATTTGCAACCGAAAATTTACCAACATAACAAGATGATAATGCAAAGCAGGAGAAGCAACATGCAATCAAATAAACAAATTCGTTCAGCTCACAAAAATGGAAATTCGAAAATAAAATTATAAAATTCAAACCACATGCATGCATTAATTCCACTGAGAAGCTACATCATCATCTAAACACAAAGACAGAATTAAGCACATCAAACATGAGAGAGATAAAAATGAGAGATGTGGTCAACAATGTAGTCAATAAATGTGGTAAATGTAGCGTCACTCAAGAGATTAATTACCGAAGTCAAAAACGGATCAAGCTCTCAAATCTTATACAGGATTCCAGTCACGGCAATCTTTCCAGTTGGGCTCTGATGAACCACATGCACCTCTAAATCAAAGCTCTTGTCATTGACGGTGTGTGCAGAAGGTGAATGCCAGTGGCATTGTTTGAGTT